TGAACATAAAGTTATTTAATACCATTTATAGTGCTCCTTTAGCAATCACTATTGGTATTGGTAGTACAGTACTCACTATTGGTATATTATTAATGATGAACAATAGACACTTATGGAAGGGAGCAATCTACTATTTAGTGAAGTCGAATTTCGCCAGCAAGCACCCAGATTCAACAAATTTTTAATATCATAAATGAGTTGGAGGGGATGTTTAGAAAGGGGTGAAGAAAAACTCATGTAGAAATTGATATTGATTGAACAAACCATTGATATAATGTAAAATTGGCTTTTTAAAGTTTAACATCCCCGAGACAACTTGCTTGCTGTTATTTGTAGAAGTAAGTTTATATTACCTTAGGGGGGGGGCGGTCCAGGCTTCAGACATAAATTTTTTTTAGTTTTTAGGTTTACATGTACAGTACATTGAATGGGTTTAAAAAGTATAGTTTTCATCATTATAATCACTCAATGTCCTGTAGGCCTACGCACAATTTTAAGAATCTTTTTGTAGTAAAATGTAATGCATTTGAAAATTTGATGTAATTCCTAAAGTAATTGATCAATTTTTTCAACTAGGTGTCATTTTTTTGCTATTACTACTTACTAAACTCCTGTGTATTACTTTGTATTTAGAATAATTAGTGTGCACTGTATAAAAGTTTTTAAATAAACAAAAGAATAATTTTATGTAGTTTTAATATAATAAAATAAATTGAAAGAAAAAATATTTAACCTAAGTTGATAGTTATACCCAAAAGTTTGTAAATACAATGAAGAACATCTTGTAAAAGTTTCAACTTGATAGTGAAATATTTGGCTGAATAATGTATACAGTATTACATTTTCTGTTACGAAACACTAAAATAAAACATTGTTGATAAATACGATGGAAGCACATCCCTCTGTGGGCCTGCAGAAGGAAAATGTATTTTTAAACATGAAAACCCTATCAGATTGCCAGAAACCCATATTTTCTTATTAATAAATTACCAAAGAACATAGAAATTAAACAATAAAAAATACTAATTTAACCATTAGAGGTATTTTTTGTACTGCAAGACTGACTATGGATGGAACCAACTTAGTTGTCTTATTAAATTATTTGGGCTATAAAACAAAAAGAAAAATTTAAGTAAAACAAAATATTTTGTTTAAGTTTTCAGTTTTTTGGCTGGTTAATTCTGTTTAAGAAGGGGTTGGTTGGATTTATGTATTTACCTACGACAGTTTTTTAAACTATTTTTAAACTAGCCGTTTCAATTCAGTTAATAGAATTGAAAAGGTTTACTAACTTAACAGTATTTTTTTTTTACTTGACAACATGGGTAGCGGACCAATGAGGTTCAAGGATTAAGAGAAAAGAAGTAAAATTGTATTGCAAACTTCAACTTATCAGCTGTTCAGGCCAATTTAATTGTTGAGTGTTGCAATTAGTGTTTGGGTACAATGATTCGTTGCATCACTGTCATTGAGCAAAGAGAGGTTAAAAACGAAAACATAACCTCTCTTAGAAGTTTGAGTAGTGATTGTTATAAAGCGCTTTGCGTCACAGTTAGTAATTAAAAAATTGTCGTAGGTAAAGTAGTGTACGCAACTCGCGTAAATAGTCTTAACAACACTCGCAGAAGTTTTCAAGGCACTCGCCAAAGCTCGTACCTTCAAATCGTTTATTGCCAAAAAAATAATACATTGTATAGCAACGTCAAGGTAAAAGTTTAAAAACTATTTTAAGGAACTTAGATGATCTACAAATGCATCAACATTGTATACAGCTAAACTACATAACATTGCTACTATGGTGTTCTTGAAAGACTTAGAATTCAGACATTTGATTAAAAAAATGTGTTGTTGTGCAAAGTACTATTACCTGTCAGTGAATCAAACAAACTACAGTACTGCTTTGTGTGTTTCCCCCATGATACGATCGCCGATTAATTATTATTTTTATTCCTAGGCGATGAATAAGCATAGTTTTAAACGTTCATATAAAAACTATTAAAATTGTTGTCAGAATTACAATATTTTGGAGGTGATTTTTACCGTCGTCGATTGAACCATGAAAGTCATTGTCAAATCCTTATGAACAGAAAATTTCGTAAAATCTTAATTAAATGCATTTTAAATTGACGGAATTCGTCAATTTTTGACAATCATAGCTTCTTTCAAGAATTGTCAATACTCAAGAATATTATGTTTTCTGTGTTATTGGATTAACTTGTCAAAAACATTTCTCGTGCGGTCTTACAGGATAATTAGAAGAAAAAGTTATACTTTCCCGTTTATCGTTACTTCAAAATTAAAGCACCAGACAAATAATAAAATGCTAACCAACCACCTACCACTTTCTCCAATAGATATGTGCACCTATCAATTTTTGTTATAGAGGTACAATGCATTCTTATGAAGCTCTTAAATAACCAGAAACTTTTTGTCTTTGCTCGATGGCCAATTTATAAAGATTTATTCCTTAATCATTATTTTTTTTCATTCCACTTCCAAGAGATCGAGTTTAAAATTAATAAATTGGCTTATTAGTGAAATAAAATTGCCCATTATTATAATTACTGTATAAACTTCTAAAGTAAATTTAGCTACTTTTCATTGCAAGATTTTAACTGCAACCATAGTATTGGTAAATCGAATTACAACTAACCATAGATTCGGATTGGCGAAAATAAAAAAATTGATTCTGATGTATCCAACAATCAGCCAGCAAAGGCATTTAAATATGTTAAATATTCATCTTCATGTACAGTATTTTTATTGATACGGTAGATAACATAGTTTGCTTTAGTTTGATTGAGAAGCAAAACAATTTTTCCAGTTCTGTTTTCGAAAACCATCATATTTACCACGTAATAAAAACGTTAGTTAAGTAATATTTGCGCGAAATCTGATTTACTACTTTCCACCCTACTATTTTCCCACACACAGCGTCCGTGCCTTGATGACGTATGTTATTTTGGCGTAACCGATGCATGTAAATAAATATGTATCTACTTGTGGTTTGATAATGACTTATGACTTATGAATTCATTGTCAGATGAAACACAAAATGAACACGGTTTATTTGGAATACATAACATTAATTGAACTGAAACAACTTATCCTGTTATCTTCAAATCGTGTATCACTAAAAGAGTTGTTGGGTACCAAATCAATGAAGAAAGTAATAAACCTTATCTCGATTTAACATTTTAACACCAAAATAATTATTTATGACATGTTTTTACGTTTCATTGAGCACACGTTTATTTGCAATCCTTGATGTCTGCGGTGGTGTTTTCACCCTACATCCCACCATCCCACGTGCGGATGCATATTTCAGCAATTTTATCTCTGTTCAAACGGAAATCCTATTATTTCAGAAGCATGAAGTTGATAAATCAATATACTGTGATGTCTATTGTACGTGAATTAGTCATATGATGGCTATAAATAGACGGATGACGGCGTGATGTTAACAATTTTAGTGAATTAGGAAATTATATTATTTAGGATTATTTTTCATCTAGTCATGTAACTTAAGCCTTCAGGTGAAAGTATGGTGTGTCCTGACGTAATTTAAACAAGTCGCGTTTTCTTTGTAATCGAAATCAAATTAAACTGTTGAAGTAATGAAATTGTAATAGGACATGTTTTCAATAAGTTTAAATAATATAAATATTAATTTACACTCATGTGTTGAAATAATGTATTAAAATTATAAAACATACAGTTTTGGAAACGACTTAAAAACAAGTTCTATGGTGTTAGATGCGTTTAGTTTTAAAGTTAAAACCAATATAGATTGACTCACAATTCACGAAGAATACAGTTCTCAATTTTCAACCCTCATATCGTAAACGTTTAAATAACCAGGACGTTTTCCATCCTGTATGTTACTTATGGTTTTTATAATTATTACAATTATATAAAATAACGATAGAAGGCCTACGATTAGTACGAAGTTTGTTTTCACGCTGATACAGGCAATAAATTGACAAGAAGATGGTAATAAATAATACAGTATGTGTTTGTGATTGTAGCCAACGGAAGCAGTGTAGTTTAAGTGCTGCCGACCAGCGCTTCTATTGCCCAAAACAGCATTAAACTGAACCTAAAATCAAATCTTGAATTCCGTAAATGGTCTACGTAAGTTACTAAATAAATTACTTAGGAAATTCCAATTGTGCGCCAGTCCGATTGTGGTGACAAGGAAAGTTGTATGATTTACATGTTCTGTCTTCTTGAATTAATGTCAGTAAAATGGCGCCAAAGATTTTAACCGTCGGCTAATTTTGTATCAACATAAAAAGTATCGTAAGTAATAAATCAAGCTTATGTCGTGCTATAAAATTATTTAAAATATTTACAGATTTCACACTCAAAACTAGACTGTGCAGTAATCTCGGTAATTACTTCACTTATTGTTTCAATACAATTTTAAGTTGCGATTAGTGCTATTGTCTGGTTATTCTATTAATGATCAACTATAGTAGTAAAAAAACATATATCCACTCTATAGATAGCTTTTGATGGGGAACTCGGCAATGCACTCAGTTTATACATGTTTCTCGTTATCACCGATTTACCCCTACTCAAAACTATGTGTGATTTATCAGGATAAAATAAATACCTAATTCTTCTAATAGTTCTAATGGTTTGTCCTCCAAGATTATTGCATGGTTGGCAATTTAGGCCAGCGAAAATGATTGTTAATTGGAAATAGACAAGACATGAAACATTATTGTTTAATGTAAAAAGTGTTACTAAAAAAATAAATTATTAGATTTTTCTACACTTTTAGGCAAAGCAAAATGAATACGCTGAGAGGTAAATTTTGTAATGTCCTTCTCAGCTGATTTCATAGCTTTATGTAAATTGATTATCTTATCTTATCTCCATTTTAAATAGATAATAATTATTATCATATCGCTAATGAATAACGATAACTAAATATCGATCTACTTACCTAATTTGAGACCAGGAAAAAGAAAAAAAATCCTTTTAAAAACATTTTATTTTTTTAACACTTCTAAATAATACAACATAGAGAAGTTTTTAATATCGGTCGACGTTAAGAATTTAAAACACGTATACACTAGGTAAAGTTGTAACTGTCCGTAGTTCACACAGTGAGTTCAGACGTCTCCGAGTCGCTGTTGTCGGCAGATTCGTGGGCGGAGGCCGGTGGGGCGGAGTCCGGTGGGGCGGAGTCCGAGGCGTCGTGGTGTCAGACGGTCGACACGGAGGTATCTGAGGGTCCGGCTACCGAGGAAGCGCGGCTAGTAGTTGTCGACGTCTCCTCCTGGGGATGACACATCTTGCGGTGTTTGTGGACGAAGTAGTAGCTAGGGAACTTGGACCCACACGTCTTACAAGGGTAGTACTGCACGTTCATGTCCAGCAGACGCACTTCGCGCTTGGCGGGCTTGGGTTTGCTGCTCTTGGCCGGTACCGGGTTTAGATGTCTTCGAGCGTGCTTCTGGTAACAGTAATGGCTCTTGAAAGTATGATCACAGAACCTACACGTGTACACCCTCCCCTCCTTGTCGTTGTCAGCTGATCCCTCTGGCCCGGGATAGTTCCGGTTGAGTACCCTGTGGAACCTGACGGGGCCGTCGCAGCACGCTACATCGACGATCACTTTCCCGTCGTTCTTGGCGGTCGATTTGCCCGGGGAAACTGTGACTGTTACTCGGTCGGAGGCGTCTGATCCCTGTGAGAGACATGGAGAGAGGCTCGACGGTGGAGGAGACGGAGGGGGCGGACGTTGACCGGAAGTGGATGGCACGGCGGGAGGAGACTCTCGCGATGTCGGAGGAGCGGACTCGGTAGCGGCAGGGTCGGTGTCGGAGGGTGCGGAGAACACAGGTCTGAATGGAGTGTCGGGCAGGAACGTTGGAGGCGCCCAGTAGAGGCCTGAGGGTGCGGCGGGTAGAATGGAGTGCAGCGGCTTTCTACTGGGCACCGGCTTGACGAGTGTCGGAGGATGTGTCTGTTGGCTCTGTACCAAGTAGGCGCGACAGAGGTCCGATGCTCTAGGCATGTGCAGCAGATGTGTGGCTAGCAACACGGCGTAGATGTTCTCTGGAGTCAGGTCGAGGTAGCCTGTGTACATGAAGGTGAGAAGTGGGGCGAAGACCTCGGGAGATACGTTGGGCACCGTCACCTGGTGGGTATCGGGCGTCAGTTGCGACTTGAGGTAGCCGCTGTGAGACGCCAGGAGAGTGCGGTGTCCGGCGAACTGATGTACTGATCGACCAGAGCCCACCACTATCAGCACGTCTGGAGTATCGCGTAGGAACCACAGCGAGTACATGACGTGCTGTGTTGTATGTGGCGTCGCGGACTGTACTGTCAGAGTGCCGCCGCCGTCGCCGCCGCCGCGTGTAGAGCGCCGTCCCCGCCCATCGCCCCGCCCACACATCTCTCATTGGCTCCTCGTCACCCGCCAAGTAACGTCTTATTGCGGCCTCTGTATGACAATTGTACATTTTTTGTATACTTTGTTTATCGCGTTTTTCGCATATTTAAATACCGCATTGCATTAAAATACTAAACATATCCTTTGAAATATTTTTAAAGGTTCTTTCAAAAACTATCCTGTATTTTAATTTGTAATTTTAGAAGTCTTATATGAATTAAATTTAAATTAATATTTCGCTAATATCCCTTTATAAATATTCAAAACAGATTTTTAAGATGAAAACATTTAGTTGTAATAGAGCGATTATCTATTTACCTGTTTATTATTCTGTATTCGGGTACGTCAATACAGAGCTGTATTATACAAAATCATTTCCAAACCAATACGCGTAGCCGAAGCGATCGAGTGCTTAGTTTTAGTTACTTAAAACAAATAGTCGGTTTACAATTTTTTATAAATTTGTTTGATTATATAGTATTGTAAAGCGACTCACACAATGTGATCAAGGTGTATACTGTATTTGCCAACGAGCAAATGCATCGAATATCAGATACAGACCTGTCTCATTTACATAATATTCAATCAACTCGCTGAGGAGCTATTCTTCTCCTTACTGGACAGTTTGAATTGTGTTTTAAGCCAGCTTTAGCGCAGCTTTCAAATTTAATTGCTTACACGTTTAACTGTTGATAGATATTTGAATGTAAAGAATAAAATCAGTGTATTTTAAATGTTCAATTTAACACGCAGAGTATTAAGATGCTACCTCTAGTCCAATCTCCTTCGAGTAATCTGTTCTCCATAAAATCATCGGTCCTATATAATAACTTACTCCTCCCTCAACTTCTTAAAATTGTATTTCTCAGCATCGATGGGGTTTTACACAATACTCAAACTGTTAAGTTAGTTTACATTTCTTTACAAACTTTAGTGAAAAAATATTTATTAAATGCTCTATGGTCTCATCATCCGATTTGACTTAAATTACCATTCTGATCGTTAACAATTGGAAGAACGAATCCTCGTAAAAATAATAACGTCCAAATAGAATGATGATGGATGGGATTGTTGGGGGGGGGGGGGGGCGGAAGCAGCGGAGCGAGGAAAAGCAAAGCAACGACTAGTGACCCATGGGAAATAATTGACTGAGAAACAGAATGATTAGCGTGAACAATAGCCCGCTACCCGCCACCCCCTACCATCGTCACATATCACAATACCTTAGTCGACGATTCACTTTTTGATTCTGCCGTCTCCCCAGTGGCACGCCATTGCGGGATGGGACGAGACTACAATGTACACGAGATTCACACCCAATCACGCACTATTATGCCGTTCTCTTAGTAGAAGATTAGTTGATGAATGATTGCCTCCGGATTGAACACAACACAATTTTGAAAACATAAGCTCAACCGAGTGTCTCCGAACTCTCAACCATTACTCGCCAAAACTAAAATACCAAAAGACAAACTGAAATACAGTATCAAATTTCAAATTAGTCTTCCTCACTAATCTAAGTTTTATCGATAACGGCTTTTTATGTGGTAGATAGTTTGATTGTGAAAAGATATATTTTAAGAAACAATATTATTCTTTTCTCGTGTTTAGCTTTAAAATGGTGGCCATTTAAATTTTCAAAACCTAAATAACATAAAACATAGGTAAACAAAACTACTGCGGTAAGGTTTTATTAATAAAATGTTATTACAATTTTAACGATACCAAATATAGCATATAAAAAATTAAATAAGGATAAAACACTTTCTCCTTATTTATCAACCTAATTGAATGGATAAATGAATGAATTATATCTTTATTCCAACAAATTATTTACAGAAATTTGTACACAAATCATATTTAAAGGAGAAAACATAAGTAAATTTAAAAGAAAAACGTAAAATTAACCTTTGCATTACATATATGTTACAAAGCGTACATTTTTATAAAGAATAAGCCGACATGGGCAGCGAGCCTGTGCGTCGACTGTAGTTGCATCCAAACATTACATTATTTATCAAAAACAAAATCTAAATAAATAAATAACAGAAGATATGATGAGGTGAAGATATGGTCTAAATGGAGTTACAAGAGCAAACTATGTGAAAAAATTCTAGTGGAATAATTAAGTTTAAATAAAAAAATAATATAACTGAAAATAATAATAAAATAATATAATAAAATATTATATATATATAATATATATTTTTGAACTAATATTAAAATAATAATATAATAATAATAATAATATATTATCTTAAATTTGGTATTGTTAAAATGTAATAAAGTTTTCTTAATAAAATCTTACTGCAGTATTTTTGTTAGCCAATAACCAATAATTTTGTAACCAATACCACAGTTATTGTTTGATATACATTAAGATTATGTCTATCAAACAATAACTCTGGTTATTAGTTAACATAACTGCTAGTTAGTTAAATAAACGAATCAGCTGTTTTAATTGTTGGCTATCCAATGAGCGAAAATGGTGTACACAGTAAGTTTTTTCTTATTTATAAACCGATTTTCTTAAAATTTTGTGGAGTTAGAATTGTAAAATAAAATTGCCTAACTAAAACTTTACCTAAATATTTTTACCTAATTGGTTTTTACGTTACTTAAGTTAAAACTTTAAATCACCGCAATTTTTTACATTTTGAAAAATAATATTTTTCAAAATGGGTGTTTACTGTATTTATCCATCTACCACATTTAAATTCACTGCCGAAAGCAGTTTACTGTTTACAATTAAGAAAATAGTTTAGTGGGAAAAATGATGGCTGTACGAGTAATTTTCGAGTTTTGGAAATTGCTAACATAATATTTTAGTATGTCTTTGGTCCAAGAATGATACCAGAAAAGGTCTGTAGTGTTCGGGGACATTCTGTAATCTGTATAGTTAATAATATAAATCAACAGATGTGAGGGACGCCAAGAAACGTATCGACTGTGCACTCCTAGGTAGATTTCCAAAAAGTGTATTGAATTGGATTGAAATGCGTTGGTGTATATGCTATAAACACCCAGCATTAAGGACCCCTCTAATGAATTATTTTTATTTATCTTTTCGTTAAAGTACCACCAACATTATATAAAATGCAAAGTGTTGATTTAATTTAAAATACATGTAATCAATCTCACTTTAATCACACTAAATACAATATTATTGAATTGATACTTTCTCGTAATTTTCTGTTAATTCAAGCAAGTAAACTCTACAGATTGCAAAACACATGTGCCCTTCTCAAAATGGAAATCGACGGAAATCGTAATAGTTTTTATAGCCTTTCTCGTCCTTTTACTCTTACTGTGCATTGTGTGCTCACAGAGGGTGTATTTTATCGCAACCCAAATTACTATGAGATATACTGTTTAGTGACAAAACAAGCCTATAAGTTGGTATCCGTGTGTTCTTTACAGTAATTCATTGCCGATCAGCTGATGCTTTGTTGCTTAGTTATCTGTGAGGTTTGGCGTTCTTGGGAATTTAGGCCTGTTGTGAATAAGAGTCGTGCAAATACATTTTTAAATGTCAATAATAGTTGATTATTAGGTACTCTAGTGTAGTACAACCACGCCTGGAAATTTAATTATAATCTTTTCTTGGCATAAAACCAATTATTTTCTTTTAATTATTCTAACTCCGAGCTTGGGAAAACACGATGTTGAGTCTTTTTTTACAATGAATACCCAATAACACTATACATCATAGAAAACTATGCAACAATGTATATCAGCTGATCGGCAATGAAGTTCAGGACAGGGATGCCAAGATATAAGCTTGTTTTGTCGATAAAATGTGTCTCAAAGTACTTATAAATGTATGAGTGTGTATACAGTAATATTTGGGTTTCGTTTTAAAAAGTGTCTTGTATTTATTTCCAATTAATTAGTTATTACGAATTTTTAGTTTTGTTTTCTTTCGTGTGTTGACGCCTTAATTTGTTCACGTTTTGTGCAAGGGATCGGTCCAAGTCCTGGTCTTGTTCCTATCCATCGCCGCCGTTTGCCTGGTGACAAATGGACCCAGAATCTAGCTCGCTTGGTATTCAATCAGCTGTGTTTTCCAATGTCAGTACTCATTGTCGAATCAATATTATAAGCGGATTACCAATTTAACAATTTGCGAATTCAACTATTTAATTTAACAAATTATCTACTCATCAAATTAGTATACATAATTATGGACAGGTGTGAATTTTATACGACGTTTTTAAAAATATGTCCCTAATCAGATGGCAATTTTAGCGGAATATGTAATTCGAAGGAATTTGTTCGCCCTGTGCATACGAGTGGCGCGGCGGAGTGGTTCCATAGGTGGAGGTAGGTGGTAGGTGGTATTATTGCAGATGTAATGGATGCCAAATTGGGTTACGTTGACATGCCCATGGGCTTTTCGCATCTCTGTTTAATTCGGTTACCAGCAACCCACTTAAGGCTCCAATTCCCATAATCAAAATTAATTGTTTCCAACGTCCCAATGCCATCAATCACTGCCCCACCTGGTGGCTGGTTGGTTCTGTTGGTGGAATGCAGAAAACTGCTCGTTCTAATTGTCAATTGTTAAGTCCAACGGCTAATTTGCATTCGAAACTACGGACAAACAGTTCTGTGTATCTCTTCATTAGATCAGTGTCTTGTTTTAACGTAGATAAACCTTCGTTGAAATTAGTTGATTTTTTCGATTCTGAAGTGGTGTCAGACCAATAGGTTTTTATGATTTTGTGCTACAATCTTACTTTCTTATTTGATACTGAGATTATGAGATAGCTGTTGTTACACTAAACATGCCATAGTTCACGATAAGTTATCCTTTTAGTTTGGTTTGGTTAAATAGTTGGCTTATTCGCCACAAGTAATTAATTAACATCATTGCACTCGGCGGCCGAATTCAGTTATGTTCATTTATTTTCTTAAAGTGACAACAGGAGTGGATTGTCTAGTTTTATCGATAGTCCGTACAATGGCAAACCTTATAAGTTATGTATCCATTGGTAATATGCAGT